TCAGACTAGGCTGCCTTGCTACACTGAACCAAAGCCCTTGATTTGTAACGAGCACCAGCTTTAATCATTTTTATTTAGCAAAGAAATTGGTGAGAAAAATGTAGCTGTGTCTAACTGCATTTTGAGGAGTGTGTACGCGTCAAGGGATTTTTTTTATCCTTTCGTAGGTAAAGTCAAATCCTTCTTCCCTCCTTCAATTGATCTTCTTTTCAAAACCAAATATATACAAATCTCTGCTGTGTTGTGACAAAGTGAAATCCCGCAAGTATTTGAGCTGAGTTTTTATTTTTTACCACCTCTTGCACAAGTCTCTGACCCACAGCTATTTCCTGTGACTGTTTTGTGGTGAGGAATGTAGGAACCGACAGTGAGAAGACTGTTCATCCTTTGGTAAAGCCTCGTCTTCTACAGATAACTATAACAATGAGCCACAACCATGGAAAATGTATTCTATATATATTTATGAAAGGATTTAAGTCCTCACAGGCAGACATACAAAAATAAAGCACTGCCTCCAGAAGAGAGAGAGAGGATCACAAAACTGAGGTAAAAAAGACCCAAATGATACCAGAGACTCTTATTTGTTTAGGAGTCCCCTTTATCCAGGACACTAATAAAGGTCCTGGTCATTTTAAAAACAAAGCTAAACCAAATGGAGGATCTCTACTTGATTTGACTTGCAAGCCATATATTATTGAAAAGGCAATGTACTGTGTGGTTTTCAAACAGAGGATGGCCTAAGGGCTGAATTGTTTTTCCCTTTCCCCTCTTAAGCGAGTGGTGGGTCAGCATTCATTAAAACAGCCGACCGGACTTCAGAGCAGACGTTTATTGCTCAGTGAAGCTAGGCAAGTCCCACATTGAAGGGACATGCTTTCACTGCTGTTCAAATTAATGTTTTTGACCAAAACCTGAAGAAATCACTTACCACAGTGAACGCTTACTGCTGCACAGTTTTGTATTTGGTAGTGGTTTTATAAGTTATGATCAAATTCCATATTGATGGGTTTCCTAGCTATTGTACAGTCTGACCAGATCAGAGTGACATGGAAAAGCAATCAGATATACTCTGGTGATTAATCTCAATTATCCGTAATTGAAGCCTGTGGCATAGGTAGTTCAGACTTGGCTTTGTTACTAATCTGGCTATCTCCGGAGTCACTTGGGAAAGAGGTCTGACATTCAGAGGGACTTGTGTCTTTTTTATTGTTAAGTAGATTTGGTTGTTAGTCCCTTGAATACATGTGGCGATAGGTGAATGTTTTGCAAAGCAGAGTTGGGGGAAAAAACACTGAGCAAGTGTACAGAACTAACTATCTTGCATTCTCTTTCTGTTGTAGGTCCTCTAATGTATTTTTGTGGATTGATTCTTGTATACCACCTGTGTGTTTTTCTTTACTGCACTTATTAGTAACTAGACGTTTGTAGTACAAACTGTAATCCTACTTTTTAAAGGAGTGGAGACTGTGGGGACTTTAATGGCCTCATTTATGTTTAATTTAGCTTTAGGGTTTGAATTCCAGTTGATTTTTGTCCAAATACAACTGTTCTTTCTGAAGTGTGCATTGCAGTGGTCTGTGTTCAATTATGGGGGTGTTTGGCAGGGCTATTTCGAAAGCAGTACTGGGTATGTTAATATGCTGTGGAGCTGAGCGGTCATAGGAATTAGACAATTCTTTCCTTCTTTTCAGTAGTTAGCCAACGGTTGTGCCCTGTGGCAAATATGGTATATACCTCCAGAGAGATTTGCTGCATTATGTTCTTGTGCATGGATGGTGGTGTTTAATATGATTTATTAGTGATGATTTTATATTGCCTGTTATATTACAGAGTGAAAACATCTGGTCATTTCCAAAATAATTTTTTGGGGGTTGTTGTCCAGTGATGGAATTATTGAATATATATCATTATATAAATGTAGTGTGGTGTGACTCTTCCTGTCTTTTTAAATGTCTGTATTTAAGGGGCAGTTCAAAGGAGTGTGTCTTAGTAGTCCTTCTTGCAAGTTGTGTTTTCTAGATCAGCTTTTGACGCCTTTGCTTGAACAGCTCAATCTCTTGTGTGTTCAAATTTCTTAACTTTTTATATTTGTTTGTTATTTTGATATGGTACAGTTTGGGAACTGCCAAAGATGAACTGCCAGCAGACACAACGTCTGCTTTGAGGTTTTGTTTTATTTACTTGAAAGGAGCCTCTCGCCAACTTCCCTTTTTAACCAAGTTCTGATTTCTGCTAGACCACTGATTTTTTTTTTTCCCTCTCGCGTCGGTTCAAAGAAAGGAACTGAATGAAAAGGAGACCCTGTTGGTCAAGTTAAAATATTTTTCAACCCTTAAATCTTGACCGCCCTGGCAGTTGACTTGTAATAGTTTTTCTAATTGCAAGGCAGGGGTGATTAGGAAGGAAATGGATTAATATTACACACCTCAGTCCTTGAATCTTGTAGAATTGTTTGCTCACCCAGTAAAAGTGCACTGCTAATGCGTTCGCGATTCAACTAGTTAGCATCTTCCAGCACAAGACTTCCCTTTGCGCTCCTGTCTGTTACAGATGTGTTTTACATGACAAAACTGATCTTCTGCCTATGAGTGAATTTGGCCAGACAGACGTGACCTTCTTGGGGATCCATCCCTTTGTTGGCGTGAAAGCATCGCGTTTCTCGTGCGCTGTGGCACGACTCATCGACGAACAGTTCCTGTATTAAAGCAAAGAGTTGGGGGCGGGGGTCTTCCTGATTGCGAAGGCTTGGAACCCCATCCTGAAAAAATAGACGCCTGTAACTGAGGTTGAACTGAAGGCTCAGATCTCCAGCAAATTAAGGTTTTACTCAAATGAAGTGCAGTTTTGGCTCTCTGAAGGCGGTCTGGATGTTCCTGCTGACAGATGCATTCTTCCCAGCTGCTCGGGAGGGGGAGGGGTTAATACAAGACTGTGGTCCCTGTCATGCTCATTGGGAGCTGAGAGCAGGAATTGGGTAAGGCTGTCAATTTCCCATGCTTGCTGTGACCCTGAGGGCAGCAGGACCTGCTGGCCGGTGAAAGAAAAGGCATAGGTCCTTTATCTATAACCTTGAGCTTGGTTATCCCATTTGTATAAACACAGAGCTTGTTCTTTTTTTTTAAAGCATTATTTCAAATTGTACGTACAAGTGAGGTTAGGAAACTCTAGAGGCCCAATAACAATGTCTTAAAATGCTAATCAGGTCCATTGTTAGAAGCAGGGGATGAAAGTAATTCTTCAGTGTATGCTAAACAAGCCATGAGAATTGCATAGCAAAGCATCTCTGCATCAACTGATCGAGATGTTTTTTTAAATTATTTTTCAGACTTTCTTGTGTATGGTTTGTTGAAATGATCTACAGTATGTACTTGGGTCCCCTCTTGTGGTAGTGTGCTCTCTGAATATGTAAGGATGGTTCTGTCGGGCTGGACTGGGATGGACTTCTGAGCTAACGTTTGTGCCTCTGTATAAGATGTGAAAAGTTGCATTCCGTCCATGAAGACCCGAAGTATTACTGGATAGCAGTCTGGAAAGAACGCATGCTTTTTGGGGTTTAATTCATGCAGATAGTTGCATGTAGCTTTACGTGGCCAGAGCGCAGTTGTTGCATTATGGGATCTTGATTGGCGGAGCAGTTTATTTAAAGAAATTTGAAATCCCTTGTCGGCCCAGTGTTCTAACAAGACGGCCTGTCTCAAAGACAAAAGATCTCTGAAGATGTAACAAGATGAGACTGTGAAACGTCTCTGAATCAGTTCAGAACAGAGCAACCAGAATCGTTTGTGGGCTCAAAGGCTGCTGACAGGCTCAAAGAATTAAACCTTTGTAGTCTTGAACAGAGAAGACTGATGGGACCTGATGCGTCTTAAATCCTCCAGAAGCGTTGAGAGAGTCAGTCTTAGAATTCAGAAGTGAAGAAAGTTAGGAGTTCATCAGACTCAATGGGATGCAATAATACAAACAACAGTAGGAACTTTTCACCAAGAGTTGTGGTAGTGTTAATCAAGCTACTCTGTTGTTGTTGGGTTGCTAACTTTGGTTCCTTCAGGAGGAGAACCTTGGATCAATGAGCTACCTAAAACAGGGATCTATAAGGGGCAAAATACAATAATATGATAATTCATTACACTTATGTGCTTTCCTGGACTTTCCACTCAAAGCACTTCTCATTTCTACCTGTTCTTATGAAGATAGGCAACTCTTTTTGAGGGAGCAGAGCAGAAGTGTTAATTTTAGGGTTTCAGCCTCTGCCTTTTTTTCTCTGAAGCCTTCTTCTATAGTCACAGAATTGTTCTACAGCTATGGTACTGTGAAGGCTCTTTGGAAGCCTAAGTGTGTTCTTGCTTGGATGTCAAATTTCATGTAAGAGAAGAACCAGGTCGAGGATTGGTGCATTTGCAGGGTTCTCTGCTGTAGAGGGCACATCTGGCAGCATCTTCTTAGTATATTGTATAAAAATAACCTGTAGGATGAGTTAAGAATGAATCATGGGGCTATTTGCTTGTAATCTAAGCAGCATGTATTTTTTATGAGCTGTAACTATCTGCACTGTTTCATTTCTGCTACTTTTTTTCTTTTCGAACATTGTTTTAATTGAAGAAAAATTGAGGATGTGTTTTTATCTCAAAGACTGTTGCATGTTAAATGTTTAAAAAGGCAAATATTTTTATTTTAGCTGGATTCAAGGTGGCCTTTATTTGGAAACGGTGTTTCTTTCAGTGTTGAACAGACTTGGTCGCTCTAAAAGTCTGCCGTTAAAACAAGAGTGGCAGGTTCTGAAATGCAACATTTTGAACCAGAAAATGTAGCAGTTCGCATATTGTATTGCTGAAGTTTAAGGATGATTTCTTCTTGCACGTTGTCCATTGCATAGGCTGCTCTTGACTAACACTTCTCTAGAAATGTGATAGTGAATTGAATGGTTGGAAAATTCTGTGTGCTGGCTGTGGCATTTGGCAGGTTTCCTTCATTGTGGCTTATTTCTGTTCTGATTTCTTTAGGTGATGCCTTTCCGGGCAGTTCCAGCCCTTTCCTCAGCGGTTATGTAGGTGGTGGGCTCGCTGGCTCCTCCACACCCCATGGTGCCCCCGCCCCCATGCCCCCAGACCCCTCCTTCAGGGCTCCTACCCCCTCCAACCTACAGATGGCGCAGCTGTGGGCATCCCATCCTCACGAAGGTAACGTCTTGCTTCTCCAGTGTCTTTGTCGCTTACATTTCTGTGGGGAAGACCCATGATGCACGTCTCTGCGTGTCGCCATTTAAAACCCCACTTGGAGGTATTCAAAACCGGGCACCTTGATACGCATTCGATTTAACAATCGGGTGTCATTTTAACAGAGAATTCGACCCAGACGAAGTAAGGATGTAGTGGCTCAGGAAACGCGAGACTTGTTCTGATTGAAACTGCATAATGAGAAGCAGTCCCCGTTGTTGGCCCGGGACGGGTTGGGGGGGCGGGGGTGCTTTCTGGGGGTTTTAAACTGTGCTAATAAAGAGCTGCTTTGTATAGAAAAGAATAAGAAAAAAAAAGTGTTAACAGCTTCAACATATTGGATTTTGGGTTTATGGCGGGTTGTAGGGGCAGCATTTATCTCATTTGTAAGCATGTTGGATTTGATTGTCGGGGAATGTGGGCACATGCGAGTGCCCATAGACGCCTGTGATCTCAATCCCAGGGGCAGCACATAAAAGCTCTTGCTCTGTTCCAAGAGGGTCTTTGCAGCTTCTCTTAAAAGTCCAAGTCCTGAAATGCAGGCCCGTCCCCTCCAGCATGCTGAAATCGGCCAGATGACCTTGGCACCATGCCTTCCGGAGAAGTTGAGCTGCGACAGCAGGTCTCGTACGCTTAGGCTGCAGTAGGCTGGGCTTTATTGGAATGATTTTAATTCTCGTTTTGTCGCCATTGGTAAAAACCAGGAAGGGGGGAGGGGCGTTTCTGAGACAGTTCTCCCTCACAGTTATTAGCCTTCTTTTAGTTGGGCGCTGATGTTCAAGCCCAGGTTCAAAAAGCAAGGCCGTCGGCACCATCCACTGTGGCCTTGAACTCAAGGCAGAAGGAAAAACAACGTGGCATCTGTGATCCTGTGTTTATTAGTCCTGATGAGGTGGAATCTGTGACTGGCACTGCAGATCTTTCCTCATCAAAACCGGTGAATGGTCTGAGGTGGCAGACCACTATATTATTAGTATTACTATTTGCCTTTCAACTGTGAGCTGCTTCTTACTTCCATGCTTTCAGAACTCAGCAATGCTGTAATTACATAGCAGCAGATATGATGGCCAGCTCTTGTGAAAGGCCAGGGCCGTTTGACAGATGAACTAGGGGAGCGATGACAGCTCATGGGGCCCTTTTTAGTGAGGGTGGGGCCCCCTGGACTGTGTGATCAGCACAGGCTCTAATCCGCCTTGGTATTCCAGGTACATAAGCGCACACTTAGATTGCCAAAAGCGACCACTCCATTAGTTTTTTCAGAGATTTCTGTTACATTAATTAAAACCCTTGGGGGGGGTGGAGAGAAGAAAGTGTTTTTGTATAAAATCCAAAAGGCATCTTTGAACTCTGGCAAGCCATCAGATAAAAAAAAAGCTCCACTTGGAGTTCTTGTGATTTATGTATTATTCATCGTGATAGCTTTTGGGAGGGCCAGGTAAACATTAGGTCTTTGTGGCCGCCACTATAGAGCAACACAGGGGTGAGCACTTTATAAATCTCGCTGTCAGAATTTTCAAAGATGAGTTTGCCTGCCTGGCCAGCATTGAAATGTAATGAATGGCTGACACTGAAGTGCACTGTGTTTCTGGTGCCTGTGAAAATATTTGAACATGTATGTTTGTTATAAAGGACGCACCTGGTTCTGATAAAGGGAAAAGAGGACAGGGAGGGGAGCTTTGTGGTAGAGCAGCATACCACAGTTTTAACTGTTTCTGTCCTGCCTCTCCAAAGCAAATACTTGGAGTTTAAACATTTTTATGCAGATCGCTCAAGGTCAGCAGATACTGGTTTTGTGTACTTAAAGGGCAGCACTTTTTTTTTTTAACCTGTGCACTTTATCTTTGTTTGTTTGAGAGTGTGCTGTAACAATTTGCCCCCTTTGATAATGAAATCATTATGTTTGGCTTCCAGATTCATTTTCAGTTTCAAAAGTGCAACTGAAGGCTGGCAACTGAGTGTTGGGATTGCTGGAGATTGTTGTGATTAATGGCTTGAGGTTATGGGTGGTTACTGGTCATTTGATGATGCTGCTGTGATCATTCCCTTTAAGAAGTAGGTAGCTACAGTGACAGCCATTCACAGCTGGCTTTAAGAGACTTTTGTGACATGCTTGAAGGGGGGGGGTGTGGGATGGGGGCAGGGGGTGAGGCATTTGGCTAAGATCCCCTACTGCAGTGTAGAATCCTTGCTTGCCATCTATAGGACAGACTATTCAGGAGCAGTTTGCTACAGTAAGTCTTTATTCGTGACTGGAAAACTGTCACAGCTCCTGGATTTCATGTTTAAAAATGGTGGCCTCAGTGTAGATTTTCTTGATTATTCTGTTAACTCATTCCTCCAGTCCTGCTAAGAATGTGATGTTAACATGGAAACACTCTTGAAGGTTTGCCTTTCATCCTAAAGTAATTATAAGAAGCTAAGGTTAAAGATACAAGTGGTGAAAGCATTTGTTCTTGTTGTTAGATCTGTTTGTCATTATGCTTTTTCCCCCATTTTGGTAAAGGACAATTTGCCCAGTGCAACATAATACAAAAGTCTGAACCCAATTTGTTGCTGTTTTCAGAGATTCTTCGCATGTCCTTGCACTTTTAACTTTCTTTGCAATGACCAAACCTAGAGCTCATCAAGGCAACCTTTTCTTTTATTATTCAGGGGTGAAATATTTTTTGGACATTTTATAACTTAACAAATACTTTTGACTTATTGTGTTGAGCTCACAGTTCTATTTTTGTAGGCATGTCTGCAGGAATTCATGCCGCTGACATTTTATTCAATACCAGCTCCACCGTGTCCTTGATTTGAATCGAGGGAAAGCCAGCATTCACTGGTTGAATGTCTTTTTATCCTATAAATCTGTTAATGGGCTCAAATGCTGAGCTTTGATTGTGGCAGACCGGCCATGAGTTGTGTATGCACGCTCCTCCCACAATCTCTCTGCCTTTGATTGATGTGGATTCTCACAATTCCGCACACACCTCTACAGGTTTGTCAGCCAGCCAGGCTTGCTGCCCATGTGTTTTCAATCTACAGGAAAAACGGCAGCTTCACATTTTAAGGGTTTGGCTGATGTGTTGGAAGGCCAGGGTGCTATTTCAGTTCGGGGGGGGGCTCTAGTGGTTGTATTTTAGGAAAAGCTTCCATAATTTGGCTCCCGCTGCTTGAATGTTCCGAAAAATTAGAGAGGTTTCTCCAGCGTTGCCTTCAGAGCTTCAGTGGAAAGCGGTTAAATGTCAGAAGCAAAGAGAAAAAGGTTTTAGTTACACAAGCAGCCAGCGAGGTTATAGCTCTGGGGGTTTTGGATTGGGAATGACACTTTGAGAGAGATGAGAGATGCCTTACTGGCTGGCTCAAGTCATTCAGGGGTAGTTTATCATTTTTATCGCTGTTTGTTTTTAAAAGTAAGCTGAAGGCTGCAGTTAAA